TATATATATATATATATAGCATAGATTAACTGACCCACCATTTGCATTTCAAATCAGGTATCTCATTTGTATAAGAAAGGAATGAGGGAAATTGGCATTATTTTATACCTGAAGTTTTGCTTTGCTATAGCTCTAACATTACAGAGACTTACCACTGAGCCACTGGGGGCTAATAACAGGAAAAACGACCAAAAAGTACCCAGATTTAAATCTAAATTCCCTGAGCCTGACTGAGTATAAACAAAAAACAGGTAGAGCACAACATAGAGAGAATGAAAATCAGACTTTATTCTGTATTTAAAACAATTGAAATGAATAACTACAATAAGTGCAGTGCTCAAAAGATAGTGCTTGCACTGAGCATTAGAATTTACTTGCTGAAAGTTACTTGCATAACTAGAAAACCAAAACCTGTTGAGCTTTACTTACTTGTTAACTTGAGAACTTGACTTATTAAAGTTAGATCTTGTTCCATACTAATAGAGCATGGAATTGCATACAATATTAGATAATGCTATCAATTTCAAGATGCATGTGCTATCAACGTTACTGTTGGCCATTCCAATAGAAAAATATGGGTATCAGGTGACTATGTCCTGGGTATGACGTTAAACTGTATCCAGTAGTAGGACAATCAGTTGTCAGGATTACAGTGAGACAAGTAATCTCTAGCTGTTGTAGTCTCTGGGTCACCCTTAGGCAAGGTGTAGCACATATTAGCCTCCCTTATTCGGGTTACAATTGAAGCTGTTGGTGTGCAGGACAGCAGACCATTTTGTCTGGCAGATGCCTGGTGCAACTTGGACAGTGATAGAGGAGACATGATCAAGTTAGTTAAGCACTGCAACCTGCAGCAAGAAATGGCAACCTACTGCAATATTTTACCAAGCATAACTATGATATTTGAAAAAATAATAAGGGAAGATATGATCTCCTGTCATCAGGTGACTCGCAAATAAGGCAGTCAATAAATTCAACAACCTGAGAAGCTGGATAACATCAGATTCTAAATGAGATCAAGAAATAAAACGGAAAATAAGGATGGCAAAGGACGTATTTCCGGAAATGAGAAAAATAGACAAATACTAAAATTTCTATGGGGACGAAGCTAAGTGTTTTAACTTGTTATGTTATACCAATTCTCATATGTGCATCAGAATGTTGGTCAATATCACTAAGTATGGAAAAGAGAATTGAATAAATTGAGTTGTGGTTCTCAAATGAAAATATTTTGTCAAGGGATCACAGGGAGAAGATGCTGACTAACATTAGAAACAACAGTTGTAGTTTCTTCGACACGTTATGAGGAAGGAAGAAATTGAAAGTCTGATTGTAACTGGAAAGATTGAAGGAAAGAGTGACTGTGGAAGACAGAGATTGGCTTATGTCAAGAGTCTCTCTAAAGAGATGAATGTATTGACATTGGAAATTTTTGTGTTACAAAGGAGATCTGTGGAAGACATGGTCACAAACCTTCCTGTTTGGATTTAGTACATAAAGAGAGCGAGAGCGGGTGACTCACCAGTGGAAAATATCTGTCCTCCACTATAAAGAATGCTCTACTTTATAACAATAACAGCTTTCTCGACTTTATTATGTGAAACCAGCACAAATACAGAATAAATTATATATTCAGAATAAGTACTATAATACTGTAAAAAGATAAAAATGCACAGTATATTCATACACCACACTTTCCTGTATACCCTACTTCAGACTTGTGTATAATTTTCTCTCTAAAAACCACTTACATTCCACACTAAGTCACAACCCTTGAACAAAAATACAATACAAAAATTACAACTGACAAAAATAA